GGCCCCCACATGGCCACCCGCCCCCTCCCCCCCAAAAAAAAAAAACTACATCCCCATCCTTGCCAGCATGCCTCTCCTACTCTCCCGGCAACATGCTTCACGACTGGCACGCGCGTCCATCGTCCCTCCTGTCGGCTGCGGCAACAGCTATCCAGTCTTACGCACTTTCGTCACTGACGCATGGCTCCGCTCAGCGACTTCTTTCCTTTTGCGCTCTTGGCCAGCACAGCACTCGTTACACCTTTGCTTCCCATCCGCCTTCTGCGTCGTTCGCCCGGCCAACCAGCTGCTGTATTCGTCCCTGCCGAAAGCGCCTTTGCATTCAACACATTTCCACTTCCCGCGCTGCAGCTTCGCGTCGTCGATGCATCGCTTGCACTTGCGGTGTTGTTCTGCCCTGCCGTCCCACATCTTTTCAGAGAAACAATCTTTCTGTTGCGCCTTCTCGCGCGCTACACACGTTCTCACTTCCTTCCTCCCTGCAGCGACGCACTGCTTGCACTTACGATGCAGATCTGCCACGCCGTTCCACATCCAATCAGAAAACCAATCTTGCCGGTGCGCCTTCTCGCACACCGCGCACGTCTTCATGTCCTTCTTCGGCGCAGCGACGCAGCGCTTGCACTTGCGGTGCAAATCTGCAACGCCGTTCCACATCCAATCCGAAAAACAATCTTGCCGTTGCGCCTTCTCGCACACCGCGCACGTCTTCATGTCCTTCTTCGGCGCAGCGACGCAGCGCTAGCACTTGCGGTGCAAATCTGCAACGCCGTTCCACATCCAATCCGAAAAACAATCTTGCCGTTGCGCCTTCTCGCACACCACGCAAGTTTTAATGTCCTTCCTCGCCGCCTGATCCCGCTCTGCTGCTGCAGCGTTTACGCATTCCCTACATTGCATCGACGCTGTCGGCGCGTTCTTCAGCATGTACTCTGAAAACTCGGTTCTCCTTTGGGGGATTCCGCAGTTGGAACACACGCGCTCTGTTGCCTCTTCGGCGCGATCCTTCTCCACCTCTCTCTGCGACTTCTTACAAGCTTTGCATGTGGGTTCGTCGTTGACCTGTTCCGCTTTGGCAAATTCAACTGGTAACTTCTGCTGGCCGCAGCGCGAACACGTCAGGTGCTTCTTCAGCTCCTCGCATTCCAGGCACATCCCTCCTTTGCACCGGGCGTTCCCTGCCTTATCCCACTGAAACGCCGCGAAAGCTTGCTCGTACTTCCGATCCTCGCACACGCGACAACTCCGTCTCTCCGGGCAATCCACGCAGCGCCGCGTGGTCAACTTCGACGGATGGTGCTGTGACGCGTGGAACGCCTCCTGGCACTTCCAAAGACCACACTCCATGCATTGCCACGGCGTGCCGGCCCTCTTCTTATCTTCCAGGCACACGCTGCACACGCGGAGCCCATCTGCGCGGCTCCACTGCCCGACCGTTGGGTACATGTTCTTGTACTTCGTGCACCCGCAGACCGCGCACCTGCCAGACGGCATGAACTCCCGCTCTATCGCCTCCCAGTCCAACTCTTCTCCGCGCAACGTGCGCAGTAGTAAGTCCGGGCCCTTCCGTTCGTCCTTCTTCTGATACGGCGCAATATCGAAAGGGCGAAAGATCAGCATGTCCTCGCGGCGTTGCACCCGCGTCAGTGCCACGTAGCTCGACAGAGGTGACGTGCCCCCACCGATGCTCAGGTCCACTATGACACCTTGCTTGAACGTCTGCCCCTGCGCCGCATGGGCCGTCACTCCGAAGGCCGGAGCCAGCGGGAACTGCCGTCTTTTGACCTTCAGTCGCGGATGCGGACGGCCCTTGTCCACGAACCAATCCTTCTTCTGCGGAATCACGGGGTACAACCCGGGCGCCTTCAATCCCTCGATCGTCCACTGGCATGGCTTCCTGCCGCCGTTCCCGTCTTCGCCTTCGTCGAACAACACGAAGATCACTTTCGGAGTCTTCTTCAATATGCTCTCCCCGCCGCGCGTGACTCGATCATTTACGGCGTCCCCGTCGCATACCCAGGATTGCACCCGGCCCACGCGACCGCGCAGCAGGTTTTTGTCCTCGCTTCGATCGATATGATCGGTCAGAGCGACGGGCATGCCTTCAGCGATGGGCAAGAAGCCGTACAAGTCCCCGCTCTCCTTGTCGTGGCGTTGGAGCCATGCCAGCTTCTGCTGCGGCAGATCCGGCCGCTCCCGCAGCGCCTCTGGCGTGGGCGTATCTCGCGCAGGGACGTACACCATCGGCATCCTGTGCTTCCGTGCGTACTGGGCCGCACGGAGCTTGTTCGCCTCGTACTTCACGTCGTTGTTTGGGAACACACCCGGCGCCACGAGGAACTTGTCTGACTGCAGACGCGGGTCGTTGGGTCCATCCACCACGAGCTTGCGGCGTGCGCGTTCCGTTCTGCACACCTTGCACTCCTGCTCGCGGATATCTTTCGGCGTCACGGGGCGTTTCCGTCTTTGCCCCGCGCTTGACGACGCTGCGTCCCTTCCGCCACTGCACAGTTCCCGACACGCCCGATTCCCGCAGCATACGTCCCCCCCCAGCCAGCTCCCAGGGACGGTCGTATGCCGGCCGTGCAAGAATGCGTGCGCATCCGCCGACAGCGACCCTGTTCGGAATTCCTCCTGCACCTCCTTCAACCAGGCGTCGTCGCATCGCTCGCACTCTACCAGCTCTGTCACGCCCTGAACCCCACACTCGGCTCCGCCCCACAGTAGCGACTGCCCGTGCAACACGGGTGGCAGCGAAGTGTACCTGCGCGCAGCCGAAATCCGCTCCGTGGGGACGTCAGCGAGGAAGCCTCCGTCTGGGGGGGCCAGCTGCCAGAAGTCACCACTCAGCACGACGTTCAGGCCGCCGAGCGGGCGTGGAACGCCATCGTCGCCGAGTTTCGTCGTGCCCACGTCCCGAATCACACCGCGAAGCTTCGCGTCCACTTCTGCTAACAATTTAGCGCTCACCATGCTTATTTCATCGATAAAGAGCCACCTCCACTGGAGCAGTCGCTTCGCAGTCTCGTACTGCAACTTCACGTCCTCCCCCCCCTTCTCTTCTCCCCGCTTGATGGCCGGAATGCCACACGCATGGTGAATGGTGTCGCCCCCCAGCAGCTGAGCCATGACGGCCTGCAGGGCGGTTATCTGGAAGTGCACTCCGATAGTCCATTTCATCACCTTCTCGAACAGCTCATGACGAATAATGCGAAGCACGTGCGACTTGCCGGTCCCAGGGCCCCCGTGCATGCACCACTGCAGCGGCTCACCCATGCTGCCGTCCTCACTTCCCTCGCCGTCTATCTCGCGCATTACTCGATTCGCCACCTTCTTCACCATCTCGAACTGCTTCGCGTTCACTACACGCCGCCCCGTCTGCTTGTCCACCCGGAACTCTAGATCCTTGAGCCACGCGGTCACGTCCTCCGGTGTTGCGGCCTGGCCAGCGACGGTAACTGCGCCGTCAGCCTCCGCCAGGCGGTCCGCCATGGACTGCTCCTTGTTCCGAGATTTGCGCGCCTCCCTGAGTACCTGCTCAACGTCGCAGGACTCTTCTGCGGGCCACGCACCCAGAATCTCGCTCAACGGCGTTTCGCCATCGCGGAGCCCCCACACCTGTTGCGCGACACTCATGCCCCCTTTCGAATTTTCGTAGTGGGAGACGCCTCCGGCTCCCTGCCCAGGGTCTGCGTCGTCCTCCTCGCTGCTGCTGTCCCCGTCGCCGTCCTTGCGCCTCTTCCCGCCCACGCGGGACTTCAGCGCCTCGTCGAGCTGATCGAAGCCCACGTCCAACTCCTCGTCGCTCACGTCTTCGTCGGTCCCGTCCCCCGCCTCTTCAGTGTCTCGTGGCCGAACGCGGTACACACTCAGGAAGTTGCCCACGTACCGCGCGGCTTCCCTCGTCTGCACCCCGCCGTCCAGCCATGCCACCATGGCCGCGTCCCACGTCGGCGCCTCGCCGCGCAGGCTCCCTGCAAACACGACGTGCGCGTCGGCCGCGTCGGGCCTCAACGTCCACGGGTGGAAGTACGTCATGACAATGCGCGCAGATCGCTCCGCTTCTCCAGGACGTCCGCGTGGCACGGGCGCTCCGAAAAATGTTGGTGCCTTGGGTCTCTTGTTCCGCTTGAGCACCCACGTATGACGAAGGTGGGCGCACCCGTCTGTCTCTGGGTACGGCACCCAATCCACGCCCCCTCCTTCCTTCACCATGTAGTCCTCCCCAGGTTCCAGGTCCTGCTCCAATCTCGGGTTCTTACAATTCTCGCGCACCTTTTCCTTGCCCTTCTGCGTCAAGACAGCGTGATGCCGAGGATGGTCCGCATCCCCGAGTCTCGTGGGGAACGACACCAACACCGGCGTCCAGAACGTCGCGAACTCGTACGGCGACAAGTGCCACAGGTCGGGCTCGTTCGGTCGCAGTCCATACAACATGCCCACGTCTCGGAAGGTCACCTTTCTGCGTCTCCTCTGCCGCATGTCCACTTCAGCAAACTGCGCTTTCCGCCCGCCTGCCGCGCGGTCTGCCAGGCGCTCGACCAAGTCCACGTACTCGCGTCCATAAAAGGCTGTGGTCTGGCACGACTTCAGTGCTTCCGCCGCAGTGACGTCGTCCTCCCTCGCGAACGCTCTCAGGTTCGCACACTCCACTTGCCCCCGCACGATGCCTTTGCCGTACGCGTCGCTCATGATGCGATTCGCTACTCTCTTCCCGATCCGATTCGAATTCTCGCCCTGCAGCTGCCTGCCAAGTTTCTCTACTCCCTTGCAGCACTCCTTCACTTCGTGAAAAGCCATGGGTTGCCGCTTCGTGCAGTAATCGCAGGCGTACCCTGCCTGTGCGTCCTGTGCCATCTGCGCGACCTTGATGATCGCTGCGTCGTTGAGCTTCTTATCGCACGCTTTCCCGCACGTACAACACACATCTGTGATGGGGAAACGATACGGCAATTGCACGTCGGAATTGAAACGTTGCGCGGACAACATGCATGGATGCGTGCCGTTCAGACTCGCGTGATTCATCGGCCCGTGCAGGCTTCCCGTCCGATTCCGTCGCCCTGCCTTGGGCATGTCCAACGCTGCCGCCTGCCCTGGACACACGACGATGGCGCGGTCAATGAGCTGCGACGTCCGCGGAAAGTCCGCCTTACACAACTTCGGGTTGTCCTTCCGGCGGCACGCCGGCAGGGGTACTCGCTCCCCAGTCTCTTCGTTCTTCAAATGAACGTGGTTCTGCTTCCTCTCCTGCAAGTACTGCACGTCTTCGTCCAAATACGCTTTCTCCCATGCCACTGCGTCGTCTGCTGCCTCCTTCTCCGTTGCTTCTGGGTCAAGTGTGCGACACTGAAACGCGGGCCTGCAAATGAGACCGCGCTCTTCCTTGAACTCCGGCCACGACTTCTCTGCCTCCTCCAACTTGCCATCCACCTCCTCCGATGTCATCTGCTCCGAATAAACCTGGCGGCACACGCGACTCTTATACTTCAAGTAATCCTCCACGATCTTTCTTCCGCGGCCTTCCACCTCGTCGCGTACGATTTCGAATACTTCTTCCAGCGGTGTGTGCTGGTGCAGGCACTGGATGAATACCTGGCAGTGCGCGTGGAGCGACCCCGTGGACTTCTGCGCTTCGATCGACACGTAGTAGGCATCAACGCGCCCGAACGCGCCCCCACCGGGCTCCGCATTACTCCCGAACAGGTCCTGGCACGGTGTCCCGTTCTCCGCCTCGTTGCACCGCGGGCAGTTCGGACAGATCCGCACGCCGAACAAGTGACGGAGCGCGGCGTCCACCAGGATACGGAACCCGTCCACGCTGGCCATGGGATCTCTCGCAAGAATTCGTCTCCGCTCGTTCCATGGCGGCACTTCTGCCTCCCCCGCGGCCATTGGCAGGTCCATCTGCAGCCCCTCCATGTCGGGGGCTACGCGCGGCCAGCCCCGACCCCCCGCCAGCCGCGACTGCGCTTCGTCATCAGCCGCCTTGTGCACAGGGTCTTGCCGTCGAGTGCGCGAGAGTCTCACCATGAGAAGATTGTGACCTTCGTCGGGCGAGAAGGTTACGAAAATGGGGACGCCGTACCGCACTCGCAGCGCGTTCGTCTCAAATCGCATGACTCGGCGCGCTTCCTGTGTACCAGACAGTCGCCTCGAAGTGTGCTCTATGTGCGTAAGCAGCTTATGGGCGGCTTTCCCCAACGTTGGCACGTGCCGCACTTTGGTCATGTCGCCGTTCACTTTCTGTTTCCTATTGTTGATGTCTACGTACTTCCCGTCGAGCGCTTGATAAATCTGCTTCGCTCCTTCCGCGATTTCCGCGGGAGTGAGCTGCTCGACCTCGCCTGATGCGTTCGCGGACACATACGTGAACCACGTCCTACTCAGGTTCACGGCCGATCGAAACACAAGGTTCCACGACACGAATCCGAAGTGCCAGTCGCGGGAAATCTGGCTCTCCACGCGACGACTCATTATCCTCACCCACAGCGGCAGCTCCACCCGCGGCGCCCCGTTCCCCCTTCGGTGGCGCGGGCGCTTCATGAACTCTGGGCAGTCAGGCATTCCCGTGCAATACTTAAACAAGAACGCGAACGCTACCCCAAAATACCAGGGCTCGAACTGATCCATCATAACGTTTCCAGTGCGCACGCGGAGCCGATCCACGCGCTTCCTTTCGCGCCCAGCCTGAGTCAGCATGTCGCGCTCCACTGCTTCTCGGGCCGCCTCATTCGCGCCCAAGGGCACTCCCTCGTGGACGCGCCCGCGTTTACTTACCCGTTCTGCCTTCCCGCCGTCTTCCTCGTCCTCGCTGGAGTTCGACGTGTCGTCGGCCCCGCCATGCGCGCACGCCTCATCCAGCCTTTGCACGAAGGTCCGCGGCAACGTGCACGTAGCCGTGCTCACCTGAAGATCGGAGACTTTGTGCGTCGCCGCGTACATGGCCAGCCGCACGATTGTTCCTGGAACGAAGGGCCAAGGCGACGTTCTCAGCAGAGCGGACGAATGAACTGCAAGGATCCTTATAGCTGCGAAAGAGGGGGAAGGGGACGAAAGATGAGGACTCACTTCGTCGCCTCGCAGGTGGCTGCATTCCACGATGCGATCCCCAGCGCGAAAACCACAGACATTCTTCTACAATATCGCCTCTGGGTCCTCAGCACCCCAGCATCCGGATACCAGGGCGTGCCGCCGAAGTCGGCGGTACACGTAACCTAAGTATACGAATCCGCTAAGACCCCTACAAAGGCAACCTCTGATTGGGATATGAATCCGCGGGGACCTTTACAAAGGCAAGCTCTGATTAGACAACTAGTGCGACCACCCTGGTCTGGCATTCTCACCCCGAGACAGTTCTACTCTTCGGACCCTCCACTCGACAACTTCTGGCCAGAACCTGCCCACGCCCCCCACCTGGCCCCCTCCTGCTCTGGCATGCCCACCCCGAGAGAACTCTGTTCTTGGGACCCCGCACTCGACACATTCTGGCCCAAAACCTACCCACGCGCCCCACCTGGCCCCTCCTCGTCTGGCATTCTCACCCCGAGAGCACTCTATTCTTGGGGCCCCCCACTCGACAACTTCTGGCCCAAAACCTACACACGCCCCCCACCTGCCCCTCCCTCGTCTGGCATTCTCATGCCGAGAGCACTCTATTCTTGGGGCCCGCCAGTCGACAAATTCGAACCCACAACCTACCCACGCCCCCCGCCTGGCCCCTCCCTCGCCTGGCATTCTCACCCCGAGAGCATTCTGTTCTTGGGGCCCCCTACTCGACAAATTCTGACCCAAAACCTACCCACGCCCCCACCTGCCCCCCCCCCCCCCCCCCTCCATCTGGCATTCTCACCCCGAGAGCACTCTGTTCGTGGGCCCCCCCACTCGACAAATTCTGGCCCAAACCCTACCCACGCCCCTCACCTGGCCCCTCCCTCGTCTGGCATTCTCACCCCGGGAGCACTCTGTTCCTGGAGCCCCCCAACTCGAGAAATTCTGGCCCAAAACCGACCCACGCACCCCACCTGGCTCCTCCCTCGTCTGGCATTCTCACCCCGAAAGCACTCAGTCGGACCTAGGCCAGAATGACATCCTTCGAAAACATGACGCCCTCCGCTGGCCAAAACACCCCAAACTTCAGGATCATTCGAGGGAGCCCTCCCCCAGGATGCACATGAGCCTCCAACAAACACGAAACGCATGAAGGTACCCTCCCCGAGACTACCTCGATCTCATACCCCAATCTGACTGTGTACCTCCCTCTGCGCGTGGCCGCGGGCTCAACTTTCGCGATGTCGTGGTGCCAGCGTCGGTTGCGACCGCCTGGGCTGGCGACGGCAGGCGGCACCATCTGGACAATTCACAAGCAGGGGCTTCTGTCGCCAGTTGGGCGCCTCACTTCGCGCCCCCACGCCGCGCGAAGCGCGAATCACATCGCGCTCTTTCTCTCGCGCCGCCCCCTGGGGGAGGGAAGAGAAGGATGAGGAGGGATCGGAACCGATTCGCGAGCAATGAATTCCAAACCAGCGCCCTCGCGTGGGACATCCTCAGAAACACGGGCTCCCCGAGCGTCGCTCGGACGTCCATTTCCCGTGCATGTGTCGGTTTCGTGCGATTTTTTTTTGCTCGATGGTCCAGGGTGCTCCTCCAGGGTCCTCGCCGAGAAACAAATGCACACGTCCGAGCGATGCCCAGTCAAAGTCTATCCCGAAGACGCGGAAACCTCTTGGAAGGAGGCGCGAGGGCTTCCGAGAAGCCCCGCCGCCTTCGGAGAAGGCCTCCTCCTGCTCGCTTCCATGTGAGCGTTTTCCTTCTCGGTGTTTCAGCATTGCGGAAGGGGGGGGGGGGGAGGGGTCTGGCTCCGGACCTCTGCTGAATGCCACTGTTGGGAACCGTGGGGGAGGGACTCCACCTGCTCGAAACAGGCGCCCCAATCAGCCAAGATCTACTACCGGGGGGGGGAGAGGGGGGGAGCGAGGGCCCGCGCCGATCGGCAGAAAATGGAAGAAGAGAACGGTCGCCATCGAGTGCAGCGCCTCGCTGCTTCGCAGCGTGGAGCCCCCGGGGGCCCTCCGACCGCCGACCGCGGCGCCGCTCGAGGCCGGGCGCGCGCGCGGCCGGGGAGCGGCGCGCCTGGCGGCGGAGCTCCAGCGCGCCCGCTCGCGGCGGTGCCCGCGGCGGCGCCCGCAGCGGCGCCCGCGGCAACGCCGGCGGCGGCGCCCGCGCCCGCGCGCGGAGGCCGCGCCGGCGCCCCCCCCGCGAGGCCCCCCCCTGGGAGGAGGAAGCGGAAGGAGAGGGGGAGGGGGAGGGAGGGGAGGACAAGCTAGGTGCGCTCGCGTCATATCTGACGTCCTACCCCTCCCTCCCATCCCTTACCGTGGCGCTGATTTTCTCTCTCTATCCGCGGACGCGTGTCGTAGCGAACCTGTGGCTCCGCGCGCGCGCGCAGTGGGTGGTGGTGCAAGCGCGCGCGCGTGCGTGTGAGCGTGGTTGTCGTGGTGGTGGTGGTGGTGGTGGCGGTGGTAGTGGTGGTGGTGGTGGTGGTGGTGGTAGTGGTGGTGGTGGTGGCGGTGGTGCTGGTGGTGGCGGTGTTGGTACTGGTGCTGGTGCTGGTTGTGGTTGTGGTGGTGGTGGTGGTAGTGGCGGTGGTGGCGGTGGTGGTGGTGGTGGCGGTGCGGCGCGGTGCAATCAGCACCTTCCACATGCGCGGTGGCATGGATGACGCCAACATTCCTCCACAGCCGCGCGACCAGGTAACGGGCGGCTCGAAAGGCAGCCATGCGCCTGCCAACTTCGGCGTCGCCCATTAGCTACAGAACACGACAACACACAACACCGAACACAATACCCCAATTTGGGGTCGGCGGCAGAGGCGGCAGCCTTTAGATAATACAAGGAGGAAGAGCAGGATGAGGAGGGGGATGGAACAGGAGGAGGAGGAGGGGGATAAGGAAATATGAAGAGAAGGTTGGACGGAGGAGGAGGATGGCGAGGATGGTGATGGTGAGGGGGAACAGGGGGCAGGAGGAAATCGGGACGAAGGAGGAGCGCGAACGCGCAAGTTGCCACTGCCGACCAACACAGAAGCACGTATGTTGTTTCATTTGTGTTTCGTGTGCCACAACATATACCAAAATAGTCATACAACCATCTGCCCATATTGGGTAACCCACTGCGTAACAACATTGCATGCATTAATACACACTTCAACGTACATTATATGACACCGCAGTTCGTACACTTGGCACGGCACCACCATGCGAAGTGCACGCTAACGAGACACTTGCATTGCCAACAACACTGTGGCACGAACCACACGTGGGTGCAACATAAAAATACACAGTTACATACAAAGCTTGCTCACTTACGTGTACATGCGTAACACAACGCCACGCACGCATATTTCATGGACGCACAACACACATGCGCATACACATGGATACATGCACATACATGCATGCACATAATACGCGACACGACGGGTGGCGTCACGTTCGGTTCCGCCCAAGCTTCCATGAAGACCTCCTGGACGCTCGCGCAGAGGTGGGAGCTGTTGAAGGCGCGTTGGATCAGCATCGCGATTGCATCCTGGAGGGGGGCGGCGAGGACGGGGATCCGATTAGCCCAAAGGAGACCCGTGGGGGAGACGGAAGGGGGGGAGGACCAGGAGGACGAGGAGGGGGAGAGGGAGGACGAGGAGGAGAGGGAGGGAGAGGAGAGGGAGGAGAAGGAGGAGGAGGAAGAGCAGGAGAAGGGGCAGGACCGCATACAACCATGACAGCCGCAGCGTCTACTACCACCACGACTACTACCGTCGCAGCTCCTCCTCCTCGCATTCCTCGTTCCTCATCCTCATCACTCCCCTCCAGGCTCTTACTCATCCCCCTCCTCATCCTCCTCCTCCTTCTCCCCCTCCCCCTTCTCCTCGTCATCCCCCTACTGCTCCTCAGGGTGCTCTCGCGCCCCCCCCTCCTTCCCCTCGCTCCACTCCCCCAAGCCGTCACCGTCAAGCGTGCCCCCCATTTGGATTTGGACCCGCAGTCCTTGCCAGCGTACTGGCCCATGTTCTCGAGACAGCCCTTGAGGTGCACACGCATGTCGCGGTTGTCCTGATGGTAGAGCTGGCAAGACCCCGTCGCTGCAGCACGAGTACAGTGACCGTTGAACTCGAGCACCGACGAGTCCGCGGCGTCACCGTCGACGTACAAGTCCAGAAACGCCTTCAACACCTTGCCAGCCTGAGTCTTGCCAGCTCCACTCTTCTTCGTCATCCAACTGCCGACCAGCAACGCGAGCAAGCCAGGCGTCGTGATCTGGTACTCGCTCCTCAAACAGGTTGGCGGCATCATCGAGTCCTGGCAGTGCGTCGCCTTCCACGACATGACGTTCTCGACGATGCAGTGGCCGCGCTCGCAGTTGAGCGCCTCGAAGTACTTCGTGATCCTCGGCTTGTTGTTGTAGATCCACTTACCGACGCCCGTGTCGAACTTCTCGCCGAGGGCTGCGATGACCCGCCTGAGCTCCCAACCAAGCCACAGAGGAGCCTGGCCCTGTCGATATCCATCAAGTGGATCTCGATCATGAGCCCACGCCTTGAAGATGCCGTGGCGCTCCGAAGATGAAAACTCACCTGGCAACTGCACGTAGATCACCGTGTCGTCCGACATCCCTACTGCTAGACCCCTGCAGCTAATCAGTCGACACGAAACCTGGGGGCCACTAGGGTCGCAGGCCGCCCCAGGGCCCCCGGGCCCCACGAGGCCGGGAAACCTAAGCCAAAACGGCTTCGAACAGGGCCGACGCCGCGGGTTAGTCACGTTGCTGCCGCATTACACACCACTGGGAAAACACCAGAGACTGCAACCTTGCCCCGAACCAGCAACGCGATCCCAAGGACCACTGAATCGAAACGCATCCCACTGAGCAGGGTTCAACACAACTACGGCAGTTCCAATGAGAACGATCCCGATGGCATCGAACATTGTTGAGGTAGCTGCATAGCAACCCCCACCTGCCCCCCTCCCATGCGACCCAACACCAAGGAGTGACGGGGATAGGCGAAGTCCCAACCAGAAACCGCAGGATATCGATCCCAAGAAAAACTCTTTGACACCAGGGGCTGGAACTTGAAACAGGTTTGAGGTCTATCCCTTCACACCATTGTGGCATGACAAATCTTCGGACACTGCATTTTTCACAACTCGTAGTTGTATCGAGCATCTGATCCAAGACGCAGAGAACGTAAACATAGCTGGCCTGCGCACCGTGAAAACTGGCTCCGACCATTGCCAGAGTCCCGAGAACAGACGCAGTCCTCAGAATTGTCTCTGAGACGCACCCCATTGCATCACATGAGTTCAGATACTGCACTTGCAGATTAACCATTCAACCCCATGGCCTCGAACGTGGAGTATATGTCCACCTTCACAGAGAGAACAAAAACGTGCGCCAGCACATACCTCGACTCCGAGATGTGCGTGTCAAGGTAGATCAAGCACCGCTCCCCGACTCCGTGTGCATGACATGCTCAAGGTGCGATTCGAGGCTGACCCCGTCGCCCACCGAGCTGGCGTCCTCGGCCTGGTACAGCGACTGACCGTCAGGGCTGCCATCGAGAGCCGACGGCGCCACAGAAGAAGGCGCAGGTGGCTGCCACTGAGACTCCATGGATTGCATCGGCACCTGCAAGAGCGAAGCCACAGCAACGCCGCACTCGTGCCCCGCGGTCTCGGGCTCCCCCACGATCCTCGAGGCGACGTCGACGATGGCCCTCTGCTTCTTGGTCGGCGGAGTGGCAGCGGCCGCGGGGTTCATGATGAACTGCTTCGCGACCACGTCGCGGCCGAAGCTCCCCAGGGAGGCGATTGGCACGTTCTTCACACAGTGATGCGATACGATGTTCGCCTTGGTCTTGCAATAGTTGATGTCGATCTCCAAGGCCTCGATGGGGATGAGCGTGCCGTCAGCGTACTTGAGCCTCAACTCTGGAGGCACCACGTGCTCGGCCTTGGTGGTCTTGTCCTTGATGATCAGGTCCTCGCCAACCATCTCCATCTCGAAGCAGCCGTCTTTGTGGGCACCCCAATCCCCAGGAACCCGAAGATCGCGTCCACGACGGCCCTCGGCATCACTGGAGTGCTTCAGGGATTTCTTGAGGGTCGGGATGTGGCGGAGCGAGCCCACCAAGTTGAGCTCCCTGCCCTGGCCAGTGACAAACTCGAAGTGGTCCGACAACTTCTTCTGCTTCTCGTCGAGTTTGCCCTTGCTGGTGATCGCCTTCAAGGCCAAAGAAGAGAGGGCAACAGGCTCGCAGTGACTCAATAGCTCAACCGTGATCGGAACCGAACAATTCTCCCACCTGGTGTAGCGATGCGGCAACCAATTCGCAGGGTTTGGATCATCGATGCCAGCGCCACTGGCCCTCACTCTGCATCCGCCCTGACCCTGATCACCAGCAGCAGCATCTCCACCGTTGGAATCGGCAGCGGTAGGCACACAAACGGTATCAGTAACAGACGAGGGCGCAGCAAACTCATCGGCACCCCTCTTCTTCGCGGCCTTCCCTAGGACGACGGGGTGGCCGATTCCCTCCAAGAGCTCTTTCACCTGATCGAGGACAATGGGGTTGTCGGTGATGACTTTGAATATGGCCCGTTCCAACTCATTCTGGGAAATCTCTTTGGCTCGAATCCTTTGGTGCTCAGCCTTCTGCTCGGCGTCCATCTCACGGAACTGGGACTTCGCATTCGGCTTCTTAGAAGCTTGCACATCTCCAGATGACGCCATGGCACCTCAAGGTTGGCACTGACGCGGGCGGGAAATACACACGCACACAAGAACCTCGAGCAGCAAAATGTGCTAGGACAACATGATCAAAAGCTACTCCCCATCTTGAATTCCACAATCTCGACACACATAACCATACTGCTCTCTATCTTGAGCTCTACAACCGCTGAGTTCACCCAAGAGGCCGTGACCGAGATTTCCAAGACATTGGCGCCTTGCTGGTTAGCTAGGGGAACACACCGCCCATGCCCGAGACTCTCCTTCTCCCCCTCTTCTTTCTCCTCCTCTTCGCTCTTCCCTCCTCCTCCTCCTCGTCTCTTTTCTCTTTCTTCCTCTCTTCCTCCTTGCTCCTCTCCTCCTCCTCCTCATTATCTTTATCCTCTTCCTTTGCATTCGCAGGCTGCTCAAGCGACGTGGTAACAATGTCACATAACAGCTTTCAAAAATCGGCCCCATACCACCCATGTGCTATACCACCCCTTTCCAGTTTTCCGACGTGCACGAGGGCGACTCCGACGACGAGCCGCCAGAAGTGTCGCATTGTCGGCGCGCGACGAATGTCGCATCATTACCAAGACCACTGCCACCAGAACAAGCAGAAGACGCCGGTGAGGCAGAACAGGAAGACGAAGGATAAACGGATAAGTCGCTGCTGCTGCAACGACTGCAGGCTCCAGCACCCAAGGGAAGATCGGCAGACACAACATCATGCACAAGGCGACTTGCGGCCCCTGCGCAACTTGTAGCGCGCGGTGTAGACCATCATGGCATCGCTTCCCGCGCGACGGCGTCGGCCCTGTCCCGCGAGATGCCATGCTCTTCGATAGCCACGTAGTCCATCTCGACGTGCTTCTCGTCGCCAACCCCCTTCGACCAGGTGCGCGATCACATCCGCGTCGTCGTCGCAGGTGATGAAGAGGCCTTTTGAGCCGTTGACGCCCGTGCTGAAGCCCCCCCTTTAGCTGTCCAGCTGCTTCACGTGGGCGAAGAAGTGCTGCCAGAGCCTGCCCATGATGACATGCTCGGCGCGGACAGCTCGCGCGGCATCCAATCGAGCTCTCAACGGCCCGAGAGACGTGGTGCGCGGGTCGGTCCACGAGATCCCGCGCTGCTTAGAGTGGCCCAGCGCCTCGCGGGCCTGCTCAATTGAATTGAACTGCGCCGCGCCACTCTGATTGAGATTATGTGCCGCGATGCTGGCCTTGAGGGGGGCGCGCGTGGCAGGGAGGCCAGGAACCCGTCGCCATACATGGTGATCGTCCTGGCCAGCAAATGCCGCGGGATGCCGCCAATCCACAGCTTGAACTTGTCGGCCTCCTCCTCCTCCTCGCCAACACAGGGGGTGCTCCGCGCGCGCGATGCCGATGCGTCGAATGAGGCCCATGCTGCAGCAGACGGCGGTGCCGGCTGCTGAAGAGCCGTGACCTGCTGGACCAGCGCCGCGACCTGCTCCCCAAACGTCTCGAAGCCCGTGGAGTCCACTTCTCCATACGGATCCACTATGACAGGCAACTGGTCAATGAGCTCGGACTTGAGCGCGGCCGCCCGCCCGTCGAGCGCAGTGAGCATCGCAGCCCCTTACGCGTGCTCCAGCGCGCTCGTGGGAGTCGATGTCGTCCATGCGCGCCGCGAGGAAGGCCGCCTGAGTGTCAGCTTTCTGAATGAAATCCTCCATCGCGAACTCCGTAGCCATTTTCGAATTCGAATTGATGGTTGCCAGCATCACAAGCATGCGATCAGCCAGCGGCCCCTCCTGCACAGGGCAAGCAAGAGGACGGTTTTGGTGACAAAGGCCCGCCATGATGTCACGAACGGCCTGTTCGCCGTTCTGGCCGACCGCTCTGCCATCATCACTGATCAGGTCGGCCACGCCTCGTCGTCGAGCGACATGCCCCGGCCGAGGTGCATCGCGGCGTCAGCCTCGCCGTGGGAAGGGGCGAGCGGTGATACAAGACCGGCCGTGGAAGCAGACGGTGCTGGCGGGCTCCGCGGGTCTCGTTTCTGAAGCGGGTCGGCGCGCCTAGGTTTCGGAGTACCAGATCGGTCCCTGCCCAGGCTCTTGATCACGGTCCCCTTGCCAGTGGAAGCAGCAGCAGGCGCCATCGCGGGGTAGACAGGAACGGTGCGAGTCGTCCTCCCTAGCGGCCGAGAGCACTCGGCCCCAGCGCGCGCGCGAAACAGAAGGCGCAGCCGCCCAAGGGGAAACACACGGCGAAGAGCGAGGGAATGGAAGCCCGCTGGGGCGGCACGCCTCGAGCAAGCCCCTCGCCCGCTCGCAAATACAAAGCAGCAGGGCGACGGTTGCGTACTTGAGCCGAAATGGCTAAGGACGGGAGGGGAAGGAGGAAGAGGCAGAGGAGGAGGAGGAGGAGGAGGAGAATGAGGGGGAACGAGGAAAAGGAGGAGGAGGAGGAGGAGGAGGAGGAGGAGGGGGAGGAAGAGAAAGAGGAGGAGGAGGAGGCGGAGGAAGAGGAGAAAAAGGAAGAGGAGGAAGTGTAGGAGAGAGGGAGGGAAGAAGGGAGGGACGAGAATAAGGTGGAGAGGGGGAGAGGAAAGGGGAGGGATCAGGAGGAGAAGGTGCACGCGGAGAAGAAACGAGATGCAGCAAATGGTACATGAGCGCGCGGGAGGGGTGGAAGAGGGGGGAGAAGGGGACAAGTGGGGAGGGGAAGGGAACAATCAATAGAATATGCAAGGAGAGGGTGAGAAGAGGCGGGCATGGTAGTGAGACTGTCAGGAGGCAAAATAAAGTCACAATTACGCGGCTCCTCGCTGAGCGTGCCCATCGGCACGACGAGGCAGCAAAGAACGGCGACGAATACGAACACGAGACGAACACACCTGGCACATACGCTTCACCAGCCGCGAACGCCTTCACGCACTCATGAAACGAGAAGCACGCGACCAATATCGAAGGTATGCCTTGCCAGCTCGGGGTGTGGGTGGTGGTGGTGGTGGCTGGATTGGTCGAGCTCGTGGCGCCTCTCTGGCCACCTTGTGCTGCTCCCCCCTCGGCTTGACAGGGCGCCAAACATCATGAAGCAGCGATGCTCCAACGGGCGCAACTGGTTCAAAGCACTAAGCCCCGAACGCAAACACGTTAACAAATCATTGTTTCAGCCTCCAACTTCCACCGAGCTACCGCCGGCGGACCCGCCGCCGTTCTACTCCCGCGAGTTCCCGCCGAAGGCGATGTCCTCGGATGGCGAGGCCCTTTCTGGCGGGTCATGCCCTCCGTCTTGTGCACGCCCCATCGTCCAACCCCATCAGCCATCACTGAAGAACTCAGGACAGGCAAGACAGTTCCTGCGTCGATACGTCGCTCCTCAGCGGGCAGCTGCCTCCGCTGGCCGCTTTACAGCAGCAGCCACCCCTGCCGATGCCGTAGACCTCCCCCCTCCTCCCTCCACCTCCCTCCACCCGGCCCCCTCCGCCCTGCCCCCTCCTCATGTCTCCTCATGTCCACCCCTTGTCACCCACTCTTTCTCCACCACCCTTAGATCCGACGTTTGCCCAAACATGCAGCATCGTCATCGAATCACGACGGGAACCCTGGACCCCATCTCTCTGCACAGATCTTCCAATCGGATCGGTTCCTGAGGGTCCAGTGGCCCGAAACTGGGTGCAAACGTACGGTACGAACAAAATGCAACGCCCGGATCTGATGGTCGTCCACGACTCGCAATTCCTCCGACCCCCCTCTCTCCTCCTCGCCATCGCCCGCTCTCCCTACTTCCTTCCTTCTCCTTAGAAATAACTTATCCCTGTCGCACCCCGAGGCCCGTTTTTAGGTCGGGGCAGGCATTTCGCCTGAGCATTTCTCTCAACTTTATGATCCTGCAACTTCAAAACCGGCAACAGTTTTGCAGATGGAGGGCGGGTCGTTTTCAAAATGTTGCTCTCGCCTGAGCGCTGCGCACATTCGTTCTAAACATTTGCAAGAATGCCACGTATGGAGGGAAGCCCGATTTCAAACTGTGGCTCTCGCCTTAGCGACGCGTACACTGGTTATAAACCTTCGCAAGAGTGTCACGGATGGGGGGAAACCTGTTTTCGAAATGTGGCTCTCGCCTTAGCGCCGAACGAATTCGTCACCAACAATTGCAAAAATTTCACGGGTTGCGGGCGGTTTCTTTTCAACAGGTGGCTCCCGCCTTAGCTCCGCGCGCATTATTTTTAAAACATTTCAAAGGTTTCATAGATTCCCCTGATCGAGGTACCAAACATAGTTTCGACTGGGCTCAAGACTATGAGGGTGCAACAAGTACGTTCGCTCGCGGTGTTGAAGTCCCCAGAACGGCGTTCTGGCACGATTCAGGATTGTCAAAACGCATCAGGTTGATCCATGGCGCTTGAAACCCGAGAACAATGTTTAGGCATGCTTCAGAGTCTTCAAACGGTTGTCTTCCAACTAAGCAATTCTCTCAATGGAAGTGAGCCGTTGCAGGGGCGTGTGAAGAGGGAGCTTGGAGGGAGGGTGTATTCCAACATCGTTGGTGCCCCTCGGGTTCGCACTGGTTCTCCTCCTCCTCCTCCTCCTCCTCCTCCTCCTCCTCCTCCTCCTCCTCCGGTGGCGGCTGCGGCGGCGGCAGCATTAGCGGCGACGACAAGGACGGCGACAACCTCCTGCCGCACCCTGCCCCCCGCCCTGCTCCCGGGCCGCCAGCCTAGCACGCGGCAGGCGCAACCGCTGTCGGTGGGCGGCGACTGGGCCACGAGCTCCTGGCCGAGGGAGGGGAGGGGGGGGGATTGGACGCCCAGGAATGGAGAAAGGAATACATAGGAGAGAATCCAGGCGGCGCCCATCGAAGGGAAATCCGTCAGCCCCCGAGGCGGGCTCAGTCCCCGCCCCACGGGCCCCGACAGGGCCCCCCCTCACAGAGCTGAGGGGGGGGGGGGAGGGAGGGAGGGAGGGAGGGAGGTGAAATCACAGCGACACCATGAGAAAGGAGAGGCGCTTTCTCGCTCGCCTCGCTCGACAATTCGGCCGCTCGGAGGTG